ATTTACAAATTAGGAATGTTATAAAGTATGTTTGGAATAGTTACTAAAATTAGATTATTTCAATAATTATATATATATAATTAGAATCAAATTCATTTTTTGTTTAAATAAGTTTGTTGAAAAACAATTTTAAAATAATTAAGTTCATTTGGATGGAACAAATAAATCAACTTTTACATAGTAAATTATGAAGAAAACAAATTTGTATAACATTGACAAGGGAAAAATAGTTGAGAAATTTAGGAATAAATTGTCTAAGTAAGACAATTGCTAACCCTCAGGAGTTGAGGATGAGTAATCTCATTGATAAAGATAATTGTCGTTGGAAATTTGATGAGTAACCCTATTGATAAAGATAATTATTGTTGAAAATTTATTGTAATGAATGTTATTCAGTGCAATCAATCTATCATGGTTATGTGAACCATGTTGTGAATCTTAAGAATCTAATGTTGTATTTGGATGAGGAATTTTACAATTTCAAGAAATTTTAAATTCTTGGTATTTGAATTACTTTGATTTCAATTTCTATCATTCTTAAAATATTTTTTTTGGATAAGTCAATTCAAATTTTTCAAATTTTAAATTGTTGGGTTGGATATGATAATTTGATTCCACCATGGTAAAATTGATTTTAAAAATGAGGAGGGTTCAAACGACACCGGTGTAACTTTTACTAAGTGTTACACCGCTCAATAACTTTATATTAAATGTGAATTTTGAAAATCCAACCGTTAGATTGAAAGTTCATATCTCTTAGATCATATATGTCAAATTTTGTATTAATCTAAGATGATTTGATACTTCATTCTCATAAAACAAAATTGACGTAATATATACATTTTAAAATATACTAAAATATGAACACTTTGATTACCTTCAAGTTGTTGTTTAATTTTAACAAAATTTGACATATATGATCTAAGAGATATGAACTTTCAATCTTACGGTTGGATTTTCAAAATTCACATTGAATATAAAGTTATTGAGCGGTGTAATACTTAATAAAAGTTATACCGGTGTCATTTGAACCCTCCTCTTTAAAAATATATTTATATGTTGATATTTTTAAATTAAATTTTATAAAAATAAATATTAGCTAATTTTTAAATATTTATAATAATTTTAAAATTTAATATTAGATAATATTTAATAATTTTAAAAATATTTTTGAATATTCAATAATTAAAAACATGAAGAAATAAGAGATAAGATAAAATATATAAGTGAAATAAGAAAAAAAAATGAGGAATTTCAAATTCTTACTTTTTTGGGAAAATTTGAAATTCTACTATTTCAAGGAATTTCACAAATGCTTTCAAATTTCTTATAAATTGTCCATCCAAATAAGGTATTTCACCTCAAAGAATTTAAAATTCTTCAAATAAATGAATTACTCCATTTAAATTCCTCATCCAAACACACTATAAAGGAATAAGGAAATTGGAAAGCAATTTGGAACTTCTCTATCCTTACAAAAGTCAAAACCTTCTTATGGCATGTTTATCGTAACTACTTACCCTTGAGATCGAGACTCTAGTCATGTAATGTGAATTGTCCTACTTTTTGCTTATTATGCGAGAACCACATTGAAAACATGTGGCAACTTTGTTGAATGTACCCTTACTTACCAATGTTGAACCACTAACTCCCTTGGGGATCAGCTTGATGCTATTATGCCCGAAGCGTGGGGTATGAAGGGTTTGGTCTTTAGTGTGCTACAAGAATGGGACCTTAGACTTTTTGTTAAGTTCTTCATGATCCTTTAGGGCATGTGGATAAGCAAGAATGTGAAGTTATGGGACGAACTAGAGTGAAATAACAACAAAATTATCTTCAAGCCTTGTTGCATGGCTCTAGGAACGTTAGCATGAAGAATCCCAACCTTTCATTTATGGTGACCCTAAGTCGCCTAGCTCTTTAGGTAGGCAAGAAAAGTTAGTTGTAGATAGTTTAGTCTTTAGGAACCTAGGTGATCATATAAGACACCAAAAGCATGTTTTTGTAGATTTTAGGGAAAAATCTCTTTTAGAAAAAAAATATAATATTGGTTTAGATAGTGTTATAGGTCTTTTTGATAGTTTTAAAGGGGTTCTAGAAGATCCCTAAAAAATAAAAGATATTAAGGATAGACCTACATCTCGTCCAAAGAGAACCAATAAGTTAGACCTCTTTCATGTTCATCAAGAAAACACTTCTAATGTTTGTGATATACTTTATTTTGTAAGTGTTGAAAAAGAGGAAATGTGTGCTCTAAATTTGAGGAAAAAAACCTTTTTAAGAAAGAGGATATTATGGAATCACACCCGTGGGTCAAGTCCAAAAGAAAAAAAAGAGAGGAGTGGGCTAAGCTCATATTAAGCTTTGGGTTACTTTTAGTGGTCAATTTTCTCTTCTTTGTAAATATTTTATTTTATTTTTTTACCTTGTATATTTGGATCAAATAGATTAGGAATTCGTTTCATTGTAATTTTCTTTTAGGGGTGTATTTAATATATAAGGAGGGTGTAATTAGTATTTAGAAAATGTGCTTTGGGCATGTTTTGGCCAAGAGAGAGTGTAGATAATTTATCTCCAAGGTGGTACATCCATTTATGGTCCTCAAAGTACTCTTTCCTTGACTTCACACAACACTTACCAAATCATATTTTCCACACACTCTAGTCACACCTTTTGCATACTTGCTTCTATACCATTTTTCTTACTAACACATCCCATCACACCTTTTGCATCATGTCATGTGATAAGCTTTTATTTACTCCTTTAGATCTAGGTCTAGGATCCACTTTTTGGAGCGAAATTCAAATTTGAATTAAAGTTAGTTGGCTTGAGTATAAGTTAACCTAACCTTGGTTACACTTAACATTTGTTACTTAACTTGCACCACAAACTATCAAGCTTTATATATACATGCACCCATTATTAGGATGTCACTTTAGAGTGAAATTTAGATTAAATTTTCTCTCAACTTCAAGAGTCTTAAGAATTCATCTCTTTAAATGCAACTTCATTTGAATCTCTTATCAATGATCATTTCCTTGTGGTGAGAAACCTTCTTTGCTTATCTTGAACCTAACCTCCCTAGGTCAATCACCTTTAAGCCAACCTCTTTAGACCGATCCCAATGTAATAAAGGTCCAATTGGTTTTGATAGTAAGCTGGTCAACTTATATAAAGATAGAGAAAATTACTCTGAGATTTTCGAAAGTTATATTAGAAATCTCAGGATTTTAATGCATAAATGTATGTGTATATAACTCAACCCTAGGGTTAGAATACACAAATTACACTTTTGAATATTTTGAACTTGAATAATCATTAAAATTCTCTAAAGATAGACTTTCGTACAAAAGTATAATCCAATATTAAATCAAAATAATTACTAATAAAACATAGTTTAGTTGATTAAATAAAGTGTGTAAATTATTGTAAACTTACGTTGATAATGATTAATAAAAGTTAAAAAAAAATAAATTAAAATCAAAGCAGTGGAGTGTATCATGAATTTGCTAATGAGTTCATGCATTCATGCAACTAAGCACCTTGTTTATTAAATTGATAATTACTAATTCAGTCTGACTCAACTAATTGATCAAGGTGTAAATTGAGTTTAATTCTAATAAATAAATAATAATAAAATAGTTGAGCGCATTAGGGGCTTGCTTATAAGCTCAATCATGCAATTAAGCACCTTATTCATTAAATTAGTCCAGTGGTCAATTTTTCAATATAAGCCTTTGAGTTTAGAATAAAGATCCTTGAAAAGCATATTGCATCAGGTGTAGTGGTCCTTTTTATCCCTTTCTTAAATCCTGTAAAGTTTCCAATACATAAGAGTACAGGGTGTCCTTGCATTTCTCCCCATCAACATACTTTTCAAATTTTCTTATTTCATTTATTGCGTATGGTGTTAATTATGAAGTAAGGTGCTGTATATAATTAGATCATTAAAAAATTAGTTTTTCAAACATAAATTTTTCATCATGTAATGGTATATAGTGCATTTTTTTTTATAAAATATGAAATCAAGATTAATTAGTGTGTGTGTGCGCCGGGCCAAATAATGTGATGTTACTGATAGGACCACTATATCGGATAGAATCATTTGTGTTTGAAAAAACCAAACAATGTTTACTTTGAAAACAGACTTAAAACATTGGTATCGGACCAACCTAGGCACGCGTCGACATTTCTCATGGATCAAAGAGCTTGATTCTTTTATGACAACAAACTTTAAGTAATCTCTTAAAATTAGAATAATTATATGCTTTTTAAAATTAAATATCCTAAAGAATATTTGAGCCGCATCTTTTAAGAATCCTTTTCATTATTAAAACAAAAAAAATGTTAATGTATCTTAAAGCAGAAGTTAAAGGATAAAACATGATCTCTTAAAAAATTAAAAAGATAAAAAAAAAAATGGGAATCTTTATTATTTTTTGTCAGTCAATATCAAATACATTAAAATTTAAAATAATTACCAACCGGACATAATATAGTTAACAGGTGTCATGCTTCTTAAGCACTCTCCAAATTAGTATTTATAGAAAAATATCTATCACAAAAATTTAGTTTCTTAAATGAATTTCTGATTTATGAAGATTAATATAAATGATTATTGACCTAAAAGATAATGGCAAGAAAAAAGTTAAATATTTATATATTTTTTTAATCTATCATATTATTCGAGACAAAAATTTATTTGTTTGAATGAGAATAAAAATATTTTCCAGCAGACAATTAGAAATCTAGAATGACTAGTTCATCTCTATATGTAAGAACTATCAAAATGAGTTTCTATCCGACAAATTTTTTTATATATATATACACAATAAGGTAATATAACCTCTATTTATATGTTTATAGAACATCTTTTTATTCATGTATCTATACAAAATATTTATAATCGAAAATAATGGTTTGTGAATGCATATCTAAAATAAAAATTTGATTTTATCATATATAAATAAGCTCTAATCTAAGTTGATTCTATTGTATAGTCTCAAATGTTATGCCACGTAAACATAGGATGGAAACATAACATGAGAGAAGAAGAAGATCCCATCCCACTGCACTTGGGAAAAGTGTGTGAGTGCGATCGTTGTGTCCTACCCAATACGCCAATACCCATCATCATCTTCTTCGGCAGAAGCAAAAACCTCCTTAACTCATTACTACGTGTAACCTCTCATGTGTCACAACATGACTAGGAGTAGGGGCCATGCTCAAAGTCACAACCACTCTCTCACACAACCCACTCTCTCAAACTAACAAGGAAATTATTCCATGGATTCCAAGGCCTCCAAATTCCACGCGCTCAGCGGCTCCCTCGCTCGGCGCGTGTTCTTCCGCGCAATATTCCTGGCCTCCGCCGTTTCCCTCGTTTCCCTGCTCCGCTTCCTCCCCACCGTTGATTTCGAATCTCTGGCTCCCAAGACCTACGTTGACTGCATCAACGACTCAGATTCTCTCTCCCAAAACGCCACTTTGACCGCCGGTTCCTACTTGTTCCAGAGCCGCATCCTCAACACCTTCTGGGGCTCCTTCGACTCCATGAACTGCAGAAACGACACCGGTTTAGCTTCCGCCGTCATCGCCGCCTTGATGGGTAAACGACTCTTGGACGGCGCCGCCAACTCTCTCTGCGTCGGAGAAGCCTCACCCACCATTGTCTCCGCAATGCAACGCTTGGGATTCTCACGTGTCGTTGGCCTCCACAAGCACCCCTTTTTCTCCCTCAACAATAAGAACATCGCCTGCAAGTTTGACTACAAAGCCTCTTCCTTTGACTTCGTGTTCTCCATGGATGTCGACAAGGTTTCTGTCCCTGCGTTGCTTGTGCTCGAAGTTGAGCGCATCCTTAAGCCTAGTGGAATCGGGGCCTTGCTTGTGGGTTCCAATTCATCCTCCGTGTCTTCGTTTTTAAGATCTTCTAGTGTGGTGCATGTTGGTTATGTCAGCGAGCTTAAGCTCGTGGTTTTCAAGAAAATGTCCTTTTTTTATAACCATTTTCTTCCCGAAGATTGTGCTACTGCTAAGGTTGCATTCACCAAGCCGTTGGTGGAGATGATGGAGCCTCTGGTGGAGGACAGAGATAGACAAGATGGAAAGTATGAGAAAAGTGTCTCTTATTTGCCTACGTTTGTGGACGTTTCTAGGAGGAAGAGGTTGGTGTATATTGATATTGGGGTGAGTGGGTTGGTGAATGCAAATGTGACTGATTGGTTCCCACCCTCTTATCCCATTGATCTTAAAGCTTTCAGTGTGTTTTTTGTTCACTACGATGCTTCTCTGTTGTTGTCCCATGTGAAACGACCGCGTGTTACTTTTGTGTATCATCCGGGGTTGGCTGGGAATGTTGCAGCAAAGAGTGGTGTGGATGGAGATGTGGATTCGTTTTTGGGAGAGGAGGAGTTTAATTTCCTTGTGTGGTTCAAGGAAACTGTGCAGTATGCGGATTTTGTGGTTCTCAAGATGAATGCAGGGGAAGTTGAAATGAAGTTCCTGGTGGATATATTTGAGAGTGGAGCAATATGCTCTGTTGATGAGTTGTTTCTTAGCTGCTCAGAGAGTGGTGAAAGTGAAACTATGAGCAGTAGAAGAAGGGAAAGCTGCATGGATATTTACAAGGGTCTCAGAAGCAATGGTGTTTATGTTCATCAATGGTGGGATGCCAAATTGCATCAAGGGTCTCAAGTGTCATATGTACAGTGATTGTGTGAGACAAATTGTATCTGTTTTGTGTGTTTCATTTCATGTATTGGATTACAGAACAACTATCTAGCGGTGGTGTTTTTGACTTTTTGTTGTCTTTCAAGGAAGTAGCGAGGTAATGCTAAGGATATGACTATGAACATCCAAATGCTTTATAAATAAGCTCCCTTAGTCATTCTCCTCTGCAAATAAAATCACTGTGTGCTGCTTGGTTTTTCTTTTTAATAATCTTCTAGGGACAAGTTAAAATTGTTTGGAATTGAACAATGACTTCGAATTTCAGATGAAGAAACCAATTTCATTATTGGAACTTGAATCGTTGTCATACTTGATCCATCAGAAGTTGTAAACATTCTCGTAATTTAATTCTGTGTCTAGCTGATCGGAATGTAACAAAGTAGTATTAAGGGTTTGTTTTAACGAAAATGACGTATCCTCCGAAAGCATTATTTTGAAATACATTTTTCGACACAGTGTATTAATTAACAATTTAAATATAATAAAAATCATATTATGCATTCGGGGGATATTTCGATTGTAATTTTGGGAAGATTTAGCAACATTCTTGTTTTAATAAACTTTTCCAGCCAAATGAAATGTAACAAAAATATAAAAGAAAAAAATAAATTTTTCTATACATTAAAATTAGTTTGTACAAAAGAGAAGATTTTGTAGAAATTATCTTGTATTACTTTCTTTAAAATGTTATTGTAACTCTGTTTAAATGAGTTTTAACCGAAACTCTGTTTTAGACGTATTTTTAGATAGATTTATCTAAACATACTCTAAATTCTCTTCAAGATTTGCTATTAAAAAAAATTAATGTCTTAAAACCGTTGTAGATAGAATTATTTTTATATATTTAACAAATAAGATCAGTAACAAAAGGTTGCAGGAACAAATAAATTAACCATCTAACATGTGATGTGCATATGCTTATTGTCGGGTCGTACATCGGAGAGTAATTTTCTTTGAAGATCCGTAGATCCTCTGCGAGCTTTGAAGATCAATTATTGGGGTTCAGGACAAAGAACAACGCACGGGAAGTAATTTAAAGATTGCTTAACCAATTGTTAACGGAACATATGCAAACTTACTCTCCTAAATCCTTTTTAGAGACCTTAAAAAATTGGTGTACAGACGTATTATCCAATATTTGCATAAAAGTATGAGGTGGATGGTGAGTTTGTAAAAATCAAAGCTATTCAGTAATCATTTAATTCCTAACTAAAGTACTGACAAAAAAGAAAGGCTCAACCTTTGATCGAAATTAGAAAACTCCCACCAGAAAACAAGAAGCTGATTGAGAAAGTTGAATAAACTTTCCAATATTGTGCCAACCTGAAAACAAGGCTAGATAAATGAGCAAGGCAACCTAAACCTATATTTCCTCGTCCTCGTGGAAACTGGAATGAACCACCACCCTTCATCTATTGGCCCAATGGTCCATGAACAAAAGCCGTATTCAAAATACAGCAACTCAACTACTTGATCTTATCAAATCATACATGTTGATTCCGTAGAACGTTTTTTCTTTTTGGGATATGCAAGAAAGATCAAATTAACATTAATTGATAAATGCATTTAGTATCATTCTGTGCAGATAAGTTTTTTCAAAAATACATCTAATAAAATAATATCAATTTTTTCATAAACTAATATCAAAATTAACTTGCGTACAAACTAATCTATAAAAAAAAATTCTATTAACTTCTCTAAAATCTTATTTTTAACTTATAGATAAACTAATTTTAGCTTTTGAAAAAAATTTATTACGATTTTTCTTCTAATTTTTTCTTCTAAAAAAGCTTCTAAAAGAATTTATCCAAATAGGTCCTTAGTCAAGTTGCTGAGTTGAGAACTACAACAAATTTTCTGCAATCGATCTAAAGCTAGATGAAGTTGCGTGCACTATAGACAAAAATATAAAAGATGTAATCCGAAGAGAAGGTGAAAAACACATCCAATTATGTTCAGAAGGGAAAGCCACTTAGAAATTAGAAGTAAAAACCAAACAAGCATGGCGGAGGCATTGGCTTACACAATAATACAAGTCAGGTGCAATGCCAGCCTGTTGTACATGTCAAACATAATGTCATACACAAATTCGAATTTCTATTTTTTGGGATTATTAGGAAAACCTGAGCAAGTAAGTGAAAAATATTAACTATAACAGTTGGACTGTACAGGAAGCTTGTGTCACTAACATTGTATCTTCACTCCTCGGGCTGAGGCTCAGGCTCTGGCTCAGGCCCAACTTTGATCTCCAAAAGCCTCTCCACTGGTTGTCTGCAGATTGGACATCTATTTGTCTGGAACCTCAAAACCTTTGCACATCCACTACACATACACTACAAAACGGAACGGAATCCAGCAAAAGCATATCAACAGTAAGTTGACCAAAAATAATAATCAGTTTGCCAAGACTGATAACTGGTTAGAACCTGATTGAGTACAAATTATAAATACTTTTGAGAGCTTTTCTATGGGAGAAAAAAGAAAACTTTATTTTCATTAAAGAAGCTTTCAAAAGTCCTTTTAAGCTTGTCTCCAAAGAATTTCTTAACAACAAAGTAAGTTATGCACTAGAGAGGAAATAATCACGTAAGTTTTAGAAGCATTTCATGAAGCTGACAAAAATAAGTGATTGTTCCTCCAATTAGGTTGAACCAAACACATGAAATAGAAAGTAATGACAACACAAAATTCTGATTGTTGATGAAATACTGATTTAGCACATTATGGTAAATTAATACTCAGTATCGATGACTACCATCAGAGCATCATTCAGTCAACCAATAAAAAATAAAATAATTTAAGAAAAATGGAAAACAGGAAATACCATGTGGCGACATGGAAGGACAGTTGTGTCTCGAGGCTCTGACAAGCAAATAACGCACTCTTTTCCAGGGTCATTCCCATCCAAGTCACTTTCCACAGAATTTCCAATACCATATATCTCCTGTAGTTCATACCTCATTCCATTTACCCATAAGATCTGCTTAACAACCTTCACCTGGAATTCTCCTTTCTCCTTCTCGAACACTGCTTGAGTTATCTGAGAGTTTGTGTTGTTGCCAGATGTTGGAGTTTCATTTGATCCATCATGATCACCAGAGGATGCATCAGCTTTAATGGCAACAGGATAGACATCCATGTCCCCCGCTTTCAATAACTCAGACTCCTCAAGTATTGAAAAATCAATACCAGTTCCAGCTGGCTGTTTAAACTTCTGGCCAAGACCTTGCTGGAAATTTACAGTCACGGGTGGAAGAACATTTTCCTTCATTGGGATTAGGGTGCAACCTTCCCCTTCTTTTGCAAAGAAAAATATGGTGATGCTGTTGTGGAGATAAAAGGAAATAAAAACCTTTAGATGAAACAAATAAAAGAACTATCTTACAATACACTATAGCCATACTCAGTCTTTATCACGAAATTATGACAACTCAGCTCGCACACAATATTGGCAGTTTAACCTTTAACAGCTCCAAGTATTGAATGTATATTCTAACTGGACATGCATTAAGTCAACCAAAGGTAGTTGAAGGTGAAAGGCACCCTTTTAAGGTGCTAGTGTAGTGGGTATTATTGCCTTGAGGCAAGAAACATCAAAAGGCACATGTCTGACACAATGACTAAAGATAGGCATTAATATTGGAAAGAAAATAGTAAAAAAAATTTGACAATTTATAATGCCTTGCCACAGTGCCTTCGGTGCACCTTGACTACACTGAGTCAACCACAACTCGTGTAGTGGCACTGCTTACAAAATGATCCTTAATATAGGAAGGCAATAAGTACTTATAATACTCAGTAATTTATTGCCTTCAAATGTGCTCAAAATGTCATTTTGTTATGCAGCTTTGGCAAAATTGAAATTGCTCAAGTATAGCATGCATTGAACCAACCATTCAGATCCTTGGTAGTGAAAAAGCAGGAATTGTATCCATGTATCTTGCTATAGAAATCATTTTATTTTTTTAATTGCTACTAAATTGACCATGATGCTGGCAGAAATATCACCATATTCCAATTGAAACTTGTAACTATTCTATATCCCAAAATTGCAACTAAAAATGATATTAAGAGCATATAAGGTTGGTTACCTCTAAATTCAGAGTAGATAATATAGATTAATTCTACTTAAAAGATGTTGACTTTTGCTTTCCTAAACAAGAGGGTCAAGTGGCAAAGGAGAATAACTAGTGATGATGCAGAAAATTACTTTGGATAATATATGTGGACATGGGAGGTTCTTCAAAATTAAATGTCATATTGCTAGTAATTTAACCAACCCCCACAATCACACGATAAAATAAATAAATAACTAAATAAACAGAAGGGACCACAATATCCAACAATTTAATTGAAATAGCAACCTCAAAAAACCTCAAACAGCCTCCTTCCATTCCTAGTTAAACAGCTACTGCAAATAAAACTACAACTGACACAGAAAAGTCACTCCAAGAATGGTGATTTGGCAGTAAGAACAGCTATTAGCACAAGTATATCAGGAAACAAAATGATCTTTAAGCCATTCTTCAGGCACAAATAACATCAGCTTCCAAACTGACTAATGTGTGCAGAACTAACTACCTCACATGCCATTAATGTATACTGAGCAACTTCACTTTTGATTGCTAAAAGGTAACACCCCATGCAAAACGGAATAAGTGGTCTCTTCACCTCCCTAAAAAACGAATAGGATAAAAAGGAAATCTTGAAAAACTCAATAAGACATTCCCAAATAGATGCAAACTTGGGGTCATACATTCATACTGTCTAGTGTTTCATCGGACCAAAATCCAGAATATATCAAACGGGGAAAAAAATGAACAATTGTTTATAAGCAATGTTGATTATCAATGACAAATGAAGATAATTTGCCATGCTGGCAATCTTTAGCAGCATTCGATTATGCTTTCCAATCAGGCTCCCCAGATTGTCAAAGGAAATTGAACCCTAGCAAGAAATAGATGTGCTTATTCAGTAAATCACAAAACGCACACAGAACAAAAACTATAGCTACTCTGCCACCGGTAAGCCAATGAACTATCTAAACTCTAAAGCATCAACTTACTGCACATATACACCTGTTTCTACGTATACTTCTCATTTGCAGAATATTCCTTATTTGTAGTTTTGCACACCCCCGTAATTTATGCACCTCCTTAACACCTTGCTAAGCTAGCTAGAGTAGAATGAAAATGTTATGCCCCTTTACTTATGAGAATCTAAATAAGCAAATTGAGCAAAGCAAGTAAATCCTGCATGCACTCACCATAATTAGCACTCACACGACACAATCAATCAACAACCACAAGACATAATTTTCTTATTACATCATCATTAATTAAACAAAGGAAAACAAACAACGTTACCTCCCCGAAACGGTGGCATCAAACGTAAACGACACGAGGAAACGGCCAGGATTCTCTTCATCAGGCTCAATCCTAAGCGTCTCCTTCTTAATGTTGACATCGTTCTTTATGGTAACCGCCTTCTGGTGTTCCACGTAGGGCGCCGGTGCCGGTGCCGGCGCCGGCGGGTACCGCCCCCAAATCGGCTCCACCGCCTGACGGTGGTGGTGGTCGTACGGTGCCGGCAACGGCGCTGGCATGGTTGTCGGCGGCGGATAGTAGCCGGGGTAGTTGTGATACGGTGTGGCGGCGGGAGGATAGACGAATCTGTTCGCCGTGACCTCCGGCGGCGGAATCACCGGCTGAGGCGGAGGCGG